CATCCTGGCAGCCTTTCAGGCTGCCTCTCCATAAAACCCTGTACAGTTTCAAACGTGTGTGCATATATATTTTTTTTTCTTATTTTTTCTTCATCCCACAGAGCTGCTGTGTACTTTTAAGCAGTTAATCTATTCCATCCTTCACTTATCTCACAGGCACAGTGTGAGGTTGTGCTCGTACTTGCTGGCAAGTTGCTTTGAGTTCCTCTGATGAAAGGTTTGCTGTAAAGGCAAAAAGTGATCATAGCCATGCGATCACTCTCATTTCCAGGGGACGGTACAGCGCATCCTACTGAAAAACTAACATAGTCCCAGTGACCACAAGCTGATTCTTGGAGCTGAACTTAAATAGGTCAGCATCCCCATCACTTCCATCCTATCATGTAAGGACTCCTTCCAAGTCTTCATCCACTTTCTGAGAGCTGCTGTGCTCACTTTTGGTGGGTGTGAGCTCCAAGTCCAGCCATGCATCTGTAAGAGCTGTGCAGGAAAACGTCAGAAAATCTTTCTTGTTACAGATGAGATTCTGTCAATCCTTTGTTTTGTTTTGTTTAAAAAACAAATCCAAAACAATCCAGGGCTTTGCTCTAAGCAACATTTGGAGTGATCCGAGCACACATCTGGTCTCAGCTTCCTGCAGGCTTTCATAATGGTCTCTAGCAATAATAGTCTCATTTTCTGGAAGCGAGTCATTGCTGTTCTTTGGGTTGAATGAACTCTGATCAAGCATGGACCTCAATGCATCGGGGTGAAAAAACACCTCATGTCTGGGCTGTGGGAGGCCAGAGGGGTTGGAGAGAGGGGGTGCTATGTTTGGATACACACAGAATGGCCTCTGTTACACATAACTTGGAAAGAGTGATTAAATGGTGACCTTCTTGGCTAAAGATGGCAGGGCTGTGATCCGTGACTTTGGCTGTTTCATCTGGTAAGATACATTTGGCAACACAGGGTAGTACCAGATTGAAGGCCCCTATTGTTGAGGTGGGTTTAATGGCCCCAAGTTGAAGGAAGATGGGCCTTGGTCTGCTAAAGAGAAAGGGGCTGTGAACTGCAGCATGTATTAACTATTTGTATCAGTAGAAGCCACAGGAAGAGATAATCCAGTAGTAACAGCTGCCCCTGGAATTATTTGTGCACGTTTGGCTCCAAAGCTTTTTGTCCAGCTGGCTGGAGGTCACTGCAAGCACTGATAAGTATTTGCCAAATGCCAAGAAGAAGACAGAACAAGGTCAGAAGCTCTTCTGGTAGCAAGGCAGGGCATGTTTAGCAAACACTGCTATCTCTTCAATTGGGGTGAGAGATTTCATCAACAAAATACACAGGGAGGTTTGAATGCTAGTGGAGGGCAGGAGGAATATACTTTACAGCTTTTGGTTAAGCCAAAACTTAACTTAACTTGGGAATTGCTGTTTCCTTCTGAGTGGGGAATCTTCTGTCCCCTACAAAAGGTGGCTGACATCCCCCTCTGCCCCATCCCATCACTGTGTCTGAATCTGTTGGGGCCAGCTCAAAGGAGCAGGGCAGTCATGGGATGGAGAGGAGGAATGAAGCCCAGCTCTGGCTCTGCAGCAGTTGTGGGTGCAATCTGGTTATCCGAATTTGGGGACATTTGAAGCAGGGCTTTGTGTTTGGCAGCCCTTTGCTTGGCTCTGTCCCTGTCCCATGGGGCCGGCAGGGAGCTCTGGCCCAGCTCTGGTGCCTGGTCAGGGGTGCAACCAAACAACCAGCAGGTCACATGTCTGTGATGGACCAGCCAGCAGGTCACCTGTCTGTGAGATGAACATGTGGGGAGCTCCCCTGCGGGGAGCTTTCTTCATCCTACACCCCTTTACATGTGCTGATCAACAGCCATTCCAGGCAGACGCTGCAGTGATGGCCTCACATTCCAGGACGTCTGAAAGATCTAAGGTGTGTGCTTCCCTCTGTCTGTGGGAAGAGAGAGAGAGGAGCCCCCCCCCCCCGGGGTGGACTCCTGGGCAGGCACACCAGAATCTTCTTGTCCCTAAGGCAAAACCATGGCGTTTTAACCCCATCTCCACACCCCATGGGATTCCTCCTATTGCTCTACTCCTGTTTGATTATACCACTGATGGGAGCACTGGTTGGGACAGTACAAATAGCTGCCTCGCAGTAAAATGACAACTGCGCAGGGAGGTTTGGTCACAGATATTGGAGATCTGAGTTTAGCACCCCCCTTTTTGTTAAATCAGTAAATGCAAATTTGAATGTAACCCTCTCCTGTAACTTTTTCACTCCTCCTTTCCCTTCCCGGCTCCTCTTTCCTGCCTACAAGGTCCCTTCTCTTTCTTGTTCAACATTTAGTTCAGGGTCTGCGCTACTGTCTGCCCTCACTTCACATCCCTTCCGTCCTTCTGCTGCTCCTGAGAGTGTGAGAGCTTCAGCAGTTACAAGGTAAAGGTACAAGGTACAGGGGTGGTGGATTTTCCTTTTGCTAAATGCAACCTCTCCAAAGTTGAGGGGATGGTTAAAAGTAAATGAATACAAAAGTGAACTGGTAAAAATCCTAGAGAGAGGAAACCCTGCTCAGTTGTTGATTTTACTGAACTCAGTGAGGGGCAGAGAAAAGGAAGGGAGGGGGAAAAAGCAATATGCAAAACATTACAATTATTTTCTGGCAAATGTGGGGGGAAAAAAAGAAGGAAAAATTCCTTTAAACTTACGAAACATAAAGCACCTCATGTGGCATTTCTGGGAGATGGTACTTTCTGCTTTTGATGAGCTTTTGTCTATACAAAACTGACAAACTCTTTACTATAGAGACGAAGGACAATTTTTCCTGCAGAAGTCTCTGCCCACTTGTCCCTCCATCCTCATTTATGTCTCTGCCTTTTAATCTGAAATTGCAAGCAGAGGCAGAGGTTTCACAGAGTCTGAGGGCTGTCTGTGCCCCCTAAGCCACCTACCCAAGACTTGCATAGCCCATACTGTGCTTGTTACAGCCGAGATTCTGTCAATCCTTTGTTTTGTTTTGTTTAAAAAACAAAGCCTGGTTTTCATTTGTGAATTAAAACCTTTTAGGCCTTTGCAATTTCAAATGTCTGTAGACTATGCAGGGAGCAACTATGCAATCAACAGTCGCTGTGTGCTTGAGTAACTCAGCTCTGGTACCCCAGTCGGTGGTCTGGCCTGTATCGGTGGTCTGGCCTATATCGCTTCAGGGAGAGGATTCCTGATGAATGCTTTGGGGGAAGCACTTAGTTGGGCTTATGTTTCCTGATTGATTTGTGAGAGGCAATCAGGCCATACAGAGATACTGACTCATTTCTTGATGTGAAGGAAAATTCTTCACAGATAAAAATGTTTCAAAATCCTCCGGCAACAGATGTCGTGTTACAGGCAGAAGCATAAGGGATATAAATTTCATGTTTGGTATAGTAAAAGGTTATAATTTACTTGTATCTTCCTTTGTGATCACCTTCCAGGTGATGTTCCTGGAGCTGGCTGAGTGCAGGAGAGGAATGCTGGACAGGGGTACTCAGAGCAGCAATGGCAGCAATGGCTCTGAGAGTGGTTGGCCCTCTGCCATCATGCTTGCAGTGGCAGCAAACACTGAGTTAAAAGGTACTTCAGTTCTAACTGTGTTTTCACTTTTTTTTTGCCTTTGGAAGAGAAGACAAAACCTGATAAGCTGTGCTGCTGGGTTCATATTTGATGCCTCCTTTCTCATGGCCAAGGGGAACTGTTGTAAGAAGCCTGAGCAAAAGATTTTCCCTCCACACTGTCATTTAAAATAACAAGCAAAAAGTTCACGTTGTAGACGCTGCTTCTGTCCTTTAGATGAATGCCTGACACTTGTCAAACTGGTGTGGAGTTCAGGGATGGCCAGCAATGAGCATATACGGAGGCTGCTTCCTCTGGACCTCCACCTTGGCAAACTGAGTGCAGGCCTACTGAGACGTTACCACAGGCTTTCATTTTGTTCTCAAAGGGCATTTTTATTAGCTTCCTGCTAGAAGTATGGAGCCGATTGGAGAAATATTTTTAGGTCTAATCCTAATTGTCTGTAAGAAATTAAAGAACAAAAAAGAAAAGGTGGCTTTTGAAAACCAGCCTGGCTTGCACTGCTAACTAGCTCATGTAGTGAGTGATTAAAAAATGCCAGCCAACAACAGAAAAAGAAAAAAAAACCAAAAACCCGAAACCAGAAGAAAAAAGAAAGGTAACAGCAGCAGGAGAGTATGCTGGAGATTCCGTGAGCTCCGTTCCCAGCCGCCTGTCATGAGTATGAGAAGGCTCAGGTAGCTCTCAGGAATGAAACCCTGCAGGTCTGTGGCGATGACATACCCCTCTGCTACGGACCAGAAGATGATTCCGACGCAGCTCATTATATTTCTATTTCTGACTAAGCCCATTGTTGGATTTAATGAATAAGTGATGTTTTGAACTGATAAACACCCTGCAGCAAATTTCCTATTTTATGTTGTGATGAACAAGCCAATAGATTTCAGGAAACCTGTAAAGGGCCTTTAACATATGATTTCAGACTTAATTCAAAGTAGGAGGTGCTTCTCAGAGCTATCTTGAAAGTTTCTCTCACCTCCACCCCCAAAATGGGATAAGATTTCCACAGACTAAGCAGTGTTATCTGTAAAACAAGGCAGCAACTGCTACCAACACTGTTGGTAGTTCATTATCACAGAGAAATATCTTGTATTGTGAAATGTAAAAATGTCTATTAACTATTTCATTGTAATCCTTTTAGATACAAAATATTCCCTTTGCTTATCCCACAGTGTGCACCTTCCTCCTCCTTCTCCCTGTATACCGAAGACTTACCTGTCCCACACCCACTTGCTTATGTTTCCAGGCTTGATCCTCACACCTTTGATCATGCAATTATGGGCTCCCCATAGGAAACCATTTACTATACCAAAATCAGCAAATGTGAGACCAGCATGAAACAAAAGAAGTTAAATATCAAAATGGATCTTTCTGGGGACTGCCACAAAAGTGGTGTGATTAATTTTTGCATTAAATTTATTAAAAGTTTGCCATGAAAAGATAAACAAAGCTGCCACAAAACTTCTGTTATAGGATGGTGATGTCAAAGACTGTCGTCACTTCATTGCAGAGTGTGATTCACCTTGCAGTAGAACAGACAACAACATGGTAGAATTAGAAAAACCCAGGACTGAAAACACTACTTCATACTCACAAATGTGGGTTTTTTTCCCAAAAGCTTGACAGTTGGTGCTCTTTTCTATGCTTCAGAGACAAAGAAAAATGAAGTCGTAACAGCCTTCAGATAGACTTTTATGAGTCTAAAGACAAAAAGAAATGTCTGGCACAGATTATTTAACTGGACTAAGGGGGAAATTAATTCCCTCTGAGGAAGGGAATTTGATTTACCATTTCCTTAAGGCTGATGGTAGGAGTGGGAGCATGAGAGCCTGCTCTGGTACGTGATGAGGTTTTGCCACTCTCGCATCTTGGCAGGGAAGACTGACCGTCATGGATAGTGTTTCTCCTGCCTGTCAGGAAAAACAGAAGGAAACTGACTTTATCCCACAAAGGACTTTTCTGAGATTTCAATCATGGCTGGGTGTCCCTCAGTCCCTCTTTTCTGAAATCTTTTTTCCCAAGACAAAACCAAGCCCTGGAAAAGGAGCAGAAACCAACAATAATTCAGACAAAAATGCAAGTGCTGCTGGTAAGTTGCAGGGAGGCTCTAAAGGGCAGGGAGCCTTTCCCTATTCCCAAGGACACATGTCCATGATGGAGAAAGTCCCCAGAGGTTTCATTGTTTTTCTTTCTGCATATCATGTGCCCACTCCCTGTACCGATGGTCTTCCCACAGGCACCCTCCCTACCCTGACCTCTAACTCCAAGGGTACTTATGGCGGTGCCTTAATGCCTCCGTGCAACACCCCCGATTGGACACTGATGGGAAAAGCTATATAAAACAAGGAACTGAATACTTCCAAGGGTAGTGACGTCTGCGTGTGATTACTTGTTTGGCTGCACTGGCTGAAGCTGTACTGCTAACTCAGCAGACTGTAAGTAGACAGTATTGTCTTTTTGGTGCATTCTGGCTGCAATTCAGGATGTTAATAATAATCTGGAGAGCTATAGAAGGCTTGGATCCTATCTATCAGGAATCGTGTCTCTCTCCACATACAGTTACAGGAGGCAAGACCGGGGAGATGATCTTGCTGACAGTTCCCTAATTTAGCAATGAGTGGCAGCATTCGCGGTGGAGACCTGTACCAAATCCATTATTTATTAAGCTATTACTTAGGATCCAGAACGGGTGTATTTATTTGTAAGAAAGTCTGTGGACATCTTGATTGCTGTTCTAACATATGTTTATGCATCAGAGTCAATGCTAGGGGGATGTTTTGGTTTTAAATTAGGAACAAAATATCCCCTAAAAGCTAAATATTATACTGTGTTGTTCTATTCTTTCCCCAACACTTACGCCAACACTGAGAGAACACTCTGGCCAAGCTGATGGGCAGCCAAATATAATTTATGGCTTGTTTTAAACTGATTTGTTGACTTCTTGAAAGGCCCTGTCAAAAAGAACAGTCCCCTGAGTCCTAACGATGATAACAGTTGTGTTGCGTCAGCGCTGAAAAACTCTTGGATAACAGTGAACCTATCCTGAGAAATCTTTTTAAAGTGCCTGAACACTGGATTTTCTGAAAAGAAATAGAACTAAAGCTACTGTTTGGTAGTACATCTTGGTTTTCTTCATTCTTTGTTACTTACCACTGATTGGTACACTCTCTTGGTAGCATGAAAATAGTTTCCCGTATTCCAGTTCATTAAAAATAAAGATGTGTGTTGTTTAAAGGAGACACTCCTAATAAGGACATGTTTAATTTCACTTGTGTGCAGTGTTGAATTTGCAAGTGATATCAATATGTTTGTGTCTGCATCAGTGTGACCAACAGCGGGAAACTTCTGAGCTTCATATCAGCAGTAATTCTGCTCTCAGTGTCTCTCTGAAGCAAAGGGCAGCCCCAGCGTGCTGCATGAGGCTGTTCTGCTCAGAGCTCCCTTGCTCGAGGGCAACATATAAGTCCTTTGCTGTGTATCTGACTCACATCTCTGGGAGCTCGCAGCCACCATACCCTGGCTCCTCTGCCACTGTCCTCCTTGTGTCTGCCCCATGTGCTCTGCCTCTGCTTTGCCTCTGCCTGCTTTGGGAACAGCTGCAAAAGACCATCTACTTTCTAAGGTCTTTCCTCCTCCTATTACTTTTTAACAGTCTTGTCTCTGTTAAGTTCAATAGTATTGTTTCATTGTTCTTGGTGGAAATACAGTGCTTCAGTCAGAAAGTTGGTTTTTTTTAAATCTTGGTAAATTTTACATGTTTTCTCTTGTCTCTCTCCTACTTTTACCTGCACCAGATTTACTGTGCTGCAGCTCTGCAAGTTTTCATTATCCTGAGTACTTTTCTGTAGGTCTTACTGGATGTTGCTGGATATTAGGCTAGTGAAATCCTAGCTTAGAGATAAAACATTACCACAGAAAGGATTATAAATATGTTCTTGTCCAAGCACATAACAATGGGTGAGCCTGAGTGTGACAGTTTAGATCTCTGATTTCCTCTCACCACCGTGGGAAAAGGAAGCTGCTTCTGTGCTTAGACAGTAGCCATCGCTTTCTACATCCATGTGGTGAAGGAGGGGTCAGCCCTTCCTCGGCCCTGCCAGCTCCAGAGAAACAGGGGTGCAGTGGCTCCCGCTCTGCAGCCTGGCATCCGTGCGTGGCCAGTGGCTCTTGGTGGCATTCACAGCCACGCCGGGCTGGGAGGGACCTGGCCCTTGCAGAGAAGATCTTTTGCAAAATTCAGAATAGGTTAGGGAAGGAGGGGAAATTCTTGCAAACTGCTGGGATTGCATGTCTGTGAGATTAGTCCAAGGACTTGATATAAGCTCAGGCAAAGCAGATTCGCAGCCCCGCGGCCTTCACAAGGGTGTTTTCTTGATCAGGCTTGGGGTTTTTGTGAAACTAAGAGGAAATAATTGTAGTAAAAATGGCATGTCTTGTTCCTTCTTTTCAGGAAAAACACAGAACAAAAATCCAATCCATTTTGTGGCAAGAAAAAAAGAAAGGTATTTTAAGGCAGAATATATGTTTTTGTACAATTTCCTGTGGACAACAATTCCTGGTATTAATTGATAAGCCAAAACTAGAACCATTAAAACAAGTGAGACTTCTGTCATTTATTTCAGGGTGAGCAGGTTTTCATACATGTCATAAACAATTACAGTAATTTTCTTTTACCATCTAAACAGGGAAAGCGCTGTACAACCCACACATAGTTAGGTTCTTGTTTTCTCTGAACAAAGTAGATCTCGCTTCTTTTATTGGCAGGTTCAGCTGGGCAGAAGGTGTGTTGCATAGTTTGGTGTCTTTTCTGAACCAGAAAAGAACTCTGGATTTGGGGCCTGCAAAAAATACTTAATGTGGGTTTTTTTTTTTTCCTCTCTTGGAGGTAAAATTGTTCTGGCTGTTGGTTTTGGTTTGGTTTTTTTTTTTTTTTTGCTTTTAAAGGTTATTTCTTGACAGTTCACATTCCACAAATAACAGGAAGGATACTGTGGTTAACATGTGGTTGCAATTCTGGAAAGTGGCAATACAAATTACAATCTGGGATTCTATATTTTATTGTCTCTCACCAATATCCATGTTAGATCTGCATAGATTGGAAGTGAAGATATTGTAGAAAACTTTCAAAAACATTTTTATACCTATCAGCCATATAAATTCATCTTGACCCTAGGAATGTCAAAGAACGTGCTCTCTGGCCTAAGCATCACAATGACAAAAATGCTATTAGAATTTATTTACTAATTTTCTTGATGATGAAAGAATCAGATTACATCTGTTTCACCTCTTATGGCTTGTGAAGAGGAACAGTTATGCCGAAACCTTTTATTATTACTAAAATTGTAACTCTTACTTGCAACTACAAAATTTTATGTAGTAGCATTTAATATTTTGAGGTGTGGAATTGGATTTTTGATTTTCTATTCCTTGTATGCCATTCTTGGAACTGGTGTAGGAATTTTGGCACAGAGAAGCATTTCCCATAATCAAACCTTTGGTGAAGCCCATATATGAAGGTGCTTTCTGTGTGCAGGGTGTTCTTTAGAACTTTTTTCTATGCTACAGCCGGTAAAACTTGTTTGAAAGAGCCTCGCTAGGCCAGAACATCAGACAGCACGTTCCAGTCACAGCTCTCCCATCAGCTGCTGGCCTCAATTTATCTCTTTAGTCCTGTGCAATATAGCAAAGGTTAAAGCATACAAACAGCACAGTGGGCTGACTTTATCTTTGTTTTGAAATCATAAAATCTCTTTAATTTAAGAAGCAGATAATGCTTTTGCTTGGGAGAGTCAGGTGGCTGAAGCTGTATGAGCTGGGTGGACTTTATGTTGGACATTAGTAAGAAATTCTTCACAGACAGGGTGATTAGATATTGGGATGGGCTGCTCAGGGAGGTGGTGGAATCACTGTCCCTGGAGGTATTTAAGGCAAGACTGGACATGGCACTTTAGTGCCATGGTCTAATTGACATGGTGATATTCGGTCCTAGGTTGGACTCGATGATCCCAGAGGCCTTTCCAACCTCATTGATTCTGTGACTTGCCAGGGTTCCCTGAGGGAGAGCAGTAGGTGGTATGGCCAGTGCTTGTAGCAGAGCTCACAAAGATAACGGGGGCTTGAACTAGAGGTCGAGGCAGAAGCTCCAGGGTGTCTGACAGGCAGGCCACGGAGTTCAAAGCTGATGCAATCTCAGAGTCTACTAAACACTTTTTTCTTGTTACAGGCGGTTTTTGTGATTCCCGAGCTCACGCCTCCCTGCTGACAGCCTCTCTGACAGACATGCTGCCTGGGGGGGCCGTTCGCCGCCTTCCCGCGGCCTTCCCGGGAAGGTCCGCCAAGGCCTTTCCCCTCTCACGGAGCCGCCCCTGGGTCCCAACTCCCCTTCCCGAGGCGGTGCCCTCCGCCCCGGCGGCGCCCGGAGCCCCCCGCCCCCTCCCGCAGCCCGGCGGAGCTCCGCCCGGGCGGCCCCGCTCTGCCTACCTGGAGCCACCTCTATGGTGCGGGGCGGGGCCGGGCGGCGGGGGCGGCGCGGCGGGACGGGCGCCCGGGCCGGCGGCGGCAGCGACTCCCCTTTGTGTCTGGAGCTGCCCGTGCTGTTGGGGAGGGCGGGCGAGAGGGGGCGCGGGCGGCGGCGGAGCTCCGGCCCTCGCTCGGCTCCCACCCGCAGCCGGCGGCGGGCAGGGGAAGGAGGCGGAGCGGCCCCTCGCCGGCGAGCCCGGCGCGGGGGGAGGAAGGCGCTGGCAGCGCGGAGAGGCTGAGCCGAGACCGGAGGGAGGAGGCCGGGCCGGGCTGCCCGGCGCTGTGGAAACTCGGGGCGGGCGGCGGAGGAGGGGAAGGGCCTTCGCCCGCGGAGAGCAGCCGGGTGCGCTCGCAGCTGGAGACGCCGAGGAGGGGCCTCGCCGCCCCGGGCCCCACCTTTGTCGGGGTGGCCGGGGGTGGTGTCGGTGCTGCGGCGGGGGCCGGGGCAGCGCGGAGGAGCCCGCCCGGCGCGGGAGGCAGATGGGCCGGGATGCAGCCGCAGCCCTCGCCGTGAGAGCGGGGGGTCTCGCCGCCGCCTTCCCCGGAGCGTGAGGCAGCGAGGAGGGGCCGCCAGAGGACAGAGACCTTTGCCGGGATGGGACGCGGCGCCGCCGTGAGCCCGTAGCTCGCTCTCCGTGCCCGGGCCAGCCCGCGGGGGCCGCGCTGACTGACACCGCTGTGGGCGCGTCTGGATATGTTCCCTTCCCAACCGGGCTCTTTCTTCGATGTCGTGAAGCTGCGTGGGAAATAGCCCGGTTCCCAGCGGGGTCGGGAGCGTGCCGCCGTCCTCCCCGGCGGGGGAGATGCCTCGGGGCTGGGAGGCAGAGCCAGGCGCTTCCCCCGTGTCCGCCGAGCGCTGCCGGCGCCCCAGGCATGAAGGCAGGCGGCTGTAATGGAGTAAGAGCGAAGCCGGCTCCCCTCATCTGCCATTTGCCCTTCCAGGCGGGATTGTAAACCGAGAGAGTTGAGGAAGGGTGTGTGAAAGCAGGAGGAATTTCCTCTCGTCGGGTTTTTGGGGTTTTTACCCCCCCTCCCCCCTTTTTTTTTTTTCTCCTCCTCCTGGCTCGAACCGTGGCTTGCCCAGGTATGCCTGCCTCACTGCAGCACCTTGTGCTGGTGCTCCTGCTCTCCAGTGCCACCCTGCTGCTCGGCACTGCGGCTGGTGAGTAGCCACTGGGTGGAACGAACTGGCCATTTTGGCAGCGGGAAGGGGGTGGGGTCCGCTGGTATTTGGGCACATCCGTGTCTCCTCTCCTTACAGAGCGGTGTGCATCTATTTCAGCGGCGAAGCCCGATAAAAGTTTTGAAATCCCGATACGTTAAGTGTCTCGGGGAATAAAATGCTGCTTTATTGTGTAAATGAACTCGACCTGCACTGAAGAAGTATGCTTTGCCTAGATCTGCATCTCTTGTCTAATAACTTACTTCAGTTTTGGAAATATATATAATCTTTTTGTTTTGCATACCTCGCCCTTTGTAAGGTAATGCGGGAATTTTTAATATATATTTTAATCTGCAGCAGAGCTGTGCCTGTTTTTGCTGTGGGATCTTCGGGCACAGCCATTTTTAATTTTATCAGCATCGGTGCTTCTATGGGCCTTAAACATGTGCTTCACTTTTATAACAGACTTACTGTAATGTGTAATTTTTTTTTCTTGGAGGAGACATCTGAAGCAAAAATGTAGCTCTGATTATAGAACAATAACACAAAACACTGTTGAGGAATGCTGAAAAATCTTGAAGAGTACTCTTTTTTTAATAACAAGAAGTTGGGAGCAGATATGCTAAGAGCATCCTTGCTCATATTTTTGGACACTCTAGTCCTATTTTTTTATTGGGTTCGGAAGCTCAGTGTTAGATATGTAGGGTACTGGAAGAGGGATATGTATTGGTCTGGCATCTTTTGCTTTTCTGTCACGGTGACAGATTAGCATGTTGGAGCCTTCTGAGTGTTACCCAGCTTTGTTAGGCAGTAATACCAATTGTTCTTGCAGTATGCGTTTTCCAGCAGTTTTGGAAGATTACTACGACTTTTGTGTCGTTTTACCGATCGAGATCCAATTTGCAGTGCTTGCTTTTTTTAGTGTTATTTTGTAATCTGCTGTGTATAGTTCATAAGTGAATCTTCGTTTAAAAAATTGCTGAATCTTGCTAAGATAACCCAACAAGGTGATGATAGTTTGCATATTATATTTCAGCGAGGTCTTAAAATTTATTTGTCAAAGTTGAAGATACTTGGTGTCATTATTAGGAAAATCCTGTAAATGACTTTTTTTCATCACTGACTGGATAGTCCCTGATTTTCTTGCTTCTGCTTATTAAGAGGTCTCTTTCAGGAAGATATTTAAATGAAAAGCTTGATGTTGCCTATATCATCCTGACCTTTGACTGCCATTATTTTAGATTGATGTCTGCAGCGTCTCTCTGTGGTAGTTTCTGAGGAGTGTTTTTATTTTTTTTCCCTTTTCTTTTTCTTTAGCTGGGGGAAGGGACTTCTGAAGGTCAAAAATCTTGGTTTTTAAAGCACACGTGAATCAGGAATGCCCAGCCCATTCTCAACTTTTCTTTCAGATGTATTTTTAAAAAAGTGTAGGCTTTTTTTCCCCTTTGTGAAAACTCCAGTGCCCTGATGAAGGAGAAGGGTTATTGAAGGAGCGAGTACGCATTTGTAGCAGGCCAAGGGCTGGGCAGATGCGGTAGGAGCCCATCTGCGCGGTTTTGCCAATTCACCTCAATTCTGACCTGGCAACAGCATTCCCAGTATTTTGGTTCTGGTTTTCACCTTTCTAAAAGGGTATTAACGATGCCAGCTTGGTTGGTTGTTTTGTGAATAGGAACCTATTTCCCCATTGTGATTTATTTCTTAATTGTGCAGTTTTAACAATTCTAGTTTTAAAAAACCTTGGTCATAATCCTTTGTAAGAGTAATTACGTGGATGATTTGAGCTGTAGTTAAAGATTTTAATGGTTGATTTTAAGTTTACACTGCATTTCAGAAAAAAATGGCTATACATGGGGAAGCTACACTAATGTGTAATTCTGCCCTTTTATGTTCATGAAGGAGCCAACACTCTTTCTTCTCTTCCCCTCCCCCAGAGTATGAACTGTATGCTCCCATCAGAGTGAAAATGCTGCCTTTGTAGCTTTGAAACCCCCTATTAATTCTTACTTCTGATTAGTGAATGGATACTATATCTCAGCAGTGTATAGAATTGAGTGTTTATAAATGCAAAATCATGACATCAGAGGGAGAATATTTTCATAACAGGTTTTTAAGTTTCTGTCTGGAGGATGATATCTGGACCTCTTTGTAGAGAGCTCCACAAGGATCTGGGCTTAGTATGGACGGGAAAGGGAAGATGAAAAGATGCATAAAGAGGATGACCAGAAAAAAAAAATCTTACAGTGGGGCTGGAGATGATAGTTCCACTCATAATCTAGAATATGAATGAAGAAAGTAGGTGGTTCTTCCTTCACTTTTGTAATTGAAGATATAATAAAAAACTAGCTCTAGATTCAGTAATATTTGCTGATTATTAGGAGGAAAATAATACTGGCTTCCTTCATAAAATACAGATCTTAACAGTTATCTGGTAACTCTGTGTTTAAATCATGTAATAGTCCTTGTAAAGAGAAATGCTACAGTGAGGACATTTTACTGATAATAGTCTTAGGCAGAGGTTTAAAAAGTAGTATTGGACAAAAATGGTTTGTGCCACTTTGTTCTTTATTTCTCAAATTATTTGAAATACCTATTTCTAAGTCTTTTGCTTAGAACTGTGAGAACTATTTATATGCCTATAAATTGTAGAGTATTCTGATGTGTTAATCATGGGGGTTTGTGCCTGAAGAGGTGGTTGGTGAACCTTTGAGCTCTTCCCCAGTATTGCTAAAGAATTTTGTTTGGGTGTTCATACGGACCAGATATTAAAGATATAATCGTTCCTCATTTCACTTGCTTGCGTTCTGTGATATGCAATACTAAACCACTTTTCCTTCTTTATACATGCCCAGGGTAGACAGCATTCCATTGTCTAATGTGTGAATTATTTGTGGGAAGTATAACGTGAAAATTAAAGCAAACAGAATATGGTTTTATCTTTGGGAATATTTCCATAAATCTATGTCTGTGTGGTTCGTCAGGGCTGTAAAAATTAAAGTGTGTAAGGGATTGGATAGAGATTGAAATATTTTTTTTTAATGATCATTTTAATTATTAATCGAAATGAGCGGGCAGAAGCATCTTTATCTAATTCTGTCTTGCCGGTTAAAGTTACTTTAGTATCTCAACATAATTTTTTTGAAATATGAATTGTGTGACATGAGGAAAAGCCTCCTTTAGCTATCCAACTCAGTTCTTCTAATTCAGTGTTTTGAATTACTAACTGACTCTATGCATCTTGTGTATAAAAGTGTTTTTTTAAACCTATCTGCACCCCAATTTCTACTTATTTACTAAAGCTATGCCCAGTGTTTATGGCTTATTCAGATGAAATCTAAAAATTAAATTTATTTTTCAGTTTGTCTTGGGAGCTGTCTCAGAAATACTAACCTAGGAGATGGAAACAAAGCTGTTTTCTTGGGGAGCACACTGGTATGCCTGATGGATAACCTCACATAGAAGCACAGCCTGTGTGCCAGACTCGGGCTTCATTAGCTGCCTACTTGTGTAAAGAAAGCCCAGGATCCTGCACAGAACCATTCACCTCGCTGAGAAGAGCCCATTTTCCATTAGGTGTATCAGGCTGTGTGAACCTCTGTGATATTTCAGCTAAGCTGCTTCCAGTTCCCAAGTAAACTTCAGTGCTTGGGTACTGCACCATGCAGTGTGGGCACAGCCCGTGAGGAAATGGAAGCTGTGCTCATTTGTTGAACCCAAATTTCAAACCCTGAGACATTACACAGATGCCTCACTTCAGTGTGAATGGTTCTGCCCTCAAAGGAACCACATATAAAAGGCTGGCTGAATTGTCTGCCTGCCCTTCTCTGGTGAAGGCAGGCAAACCTCACTTCACCCTGGACAAAGAG